GCACTACCTCAGCACTACGTGCCACCTCGGCAGCCACAGCTACCTGTGCAACCGCCAGTCATGCAGCAAGGAATGAATGCGCCGGTGACCAACTTTCCTCGAGTGCCTGACACGCGTCAGCGTAAGCTAGGAATTTGGCATTTCGACGGCAAAGAGCTCTATCAAGGTCTCGGTAGCGGTTTCTTGTCGTGGGGCAAGAGGTTTGCTCGGCAGATACAGTTCGCGGAGCGCGCGAGCGGCTTCCAGTGGACAGAGGAGGTGAAGGTGGACATTCTGGGACACCACCTCACCGGCATGGCCGAACGCTAATATAACCAGCAGGTTAAAGGATGGTGGGGCGAGGAACCGACGTTAGAGCACGCGATGCAGCGATTGTTGCACACCTTTGCGACGAAGATAACGCCGGCACAGAGCATGAAGATGTTCACGGCGCAGAAGAACGCAAAGCGTAGCTGGACGGAACACTACCTTTACTTGGTGGCCGTCAGCGAGGCGTGTGGAGGTACCGACAATTTGGTACTCGACAACATCGTTCACTACGCGGATCCTGCGATGAGAGTGTCAATGTTATCCAGGTTAAACCTTGGACGCACGGACTACCTTCGGCAAGCGGAAGAGCTGGCTCACTTCGCGCAGTCGACTGAGATAGAGCTACGTGGCAAACACCTGGGGCGCGACGTCGTGAGCGACGTACGCGAAGCCCGCATGGACAACAGGAAGTGTTTCAAGTGCGGCAAGGTGGGCCACCTAAAGGCATCGTGCCCAGACGGACTCAAGGATGGCAGCCTACGAGGGGACGCCGATTTCGTCTTGGCAATGGGCAGTACGACCAGCGACAAGGGCGTGTGGATTCTCGACACTGGGTCGGGACGACATCTGGTAAACGATGAGAGCCTGCTGGAGTACGCCGAGGATTTTGACAGCGAGTGCGTTGCCGCTAATGGAGGAGCACTGAAAATAACCAAGCGTGGCAGCGTGATGCTGGAAACCACGGCGATGGGGAAACAGACCAAGGTGCTATTGTTAGATGTGGAGTACGCGAAGAACTTGGAGAGGAACATTATCTCGTATGGGCGGTTGGAAAAGAAGGGCTACAGGATGGAGTATCGGGGCCCAAACCGCGTGATAGCTGCCAAGAGCGGCGGACCAGCGGTGTTCGATGTGGAAAGATGCGACAACGTGCTAGTCGTCCGCACCGAAGGCCACAGAGGCCGGCAGAGTGCGAGGAGCGTGCTCATGGCTGTGCTGGCAGAGAGCCAAGACGAGAAGGGACCAGACGTACAGACTGGTACGCTGATGCACTTTCACCGCAGACTAGGGCACCTCAACTACGACACGATCCTGCGCATGGCGAGGGACCCGGCGTCGGGGATCTCACTGACGGACGAGAAGCGCGCAAACTGCTTGGCCTGTGCGCAAGATAAACAGACGAAGAACAAACAGTCACGCAAGGACTCGGGGGCCAACTCGCCCACCGACGTCATCGGTGGCGTAATTTGCTCCGACCTAAAGGGCCCGATGACGCCATTTGACCGGCTCGGAAACAGGTATATGATCAACTTTATTGACCATCGCACGAACTATTGCAGGATTTTCCTAGCCAAGAACAAGGACGTAGCGGCACAAAAGTTTAAACACTTCATGGTCTTCTTCGAGAGGCAGTTCAACTGTCGCATTCACGTGCTGCGCACCGACGGCGGAGGAGAGTACAAGACTTTGGACTTGTTCTGCAAGGACACTGGCATTGCTAGACAAGTTAGCGAGCCCCGCAACCAGGCCAGCAACGGCAAGGCGGAGCGCTTGCACCGTACCGTAATGAACATGGTACGTAGCATGGTGTTTGCGTGCGGATTACCTTTGAGTTTCTGGGGGGACGCCGCGGAGTACGCCGCGTATATCTTGAATCGGAGTCCAAGCAAAGGAAACCCAGGTTTGAAGTCGCCACTGCAGATGCTCACTAAGAGCACGCCGGACCTTGGCGACATTGTGGTGTTTGGCTCCCCGTGCACCGTGCACCAGGACGCCAAGAACAAGTCGTTGGGTGAGCGCGGGAAGCCCGGTATGATCATCGGCAAGAGCGTCGAGATGAAGGGGTACAGGGTCTATATCCCGAAGGACAGAGTGGTGGTCGTCACCCAGCATGTCAGGAACGTGGAGACCTTCACGGACGTGCAGAACGAGCAGCTGAGACGCGTGCATCTGGAGGATTCGGACGAGTCCAAGACGGAAGATGCCGCACCTGAGACGCAAGGACCCGTAGCGGCGCCGAAGCCAAAGTCGAAGCGTCGTGCGAAGAGTCGGTGGACTCGAGAGAAGCACCAGACTAGATTAGCGTCTCGAAAGGCAGCAGCGGCTGCGGAAGAGAAGAGCAATGGAGACGGTCAGCCTGACAGCAACGCGGCCGCGGGCCTCGATGTGGTAAATAGCGTGCGAGAACCGGATCCGAAGAATTACGCGCATGCGATGAAGAGCAAGCTCAGGAACAAGTGGACCATCGCGATGGTTGAGGAGCTTAGAGCGCTCGAAGAGAACGGGGTGTGGACAGTGGTGATACCGCCTACGGGCAGCCATGTGTTGCACACAAAATGGGTCTTTAAGACCAAGACAGATGCCGATGGAGCCATCGAGCGGTTCAAAGCTCGGCTAGTGGCCTGCGGAAACGAGCAGTTGTTCGGTGTCGACTACGGGCTCACGTTTGCCGCAGTGATGGAATTGAGCACTGTCAAGGTGATATTGGTGTTTGCACGGCGCTGGGGCGTGCCTGCGAGGCACAAGGATATCCCCAACGCGTACGTGAAGGCCGAGAAGGAGCAGCACCTGGAGATTTACCTGGCCATCCCGAAGGAAATGGAGATTCCGGAGGAAGTACTGCGGTCATTCAACGTGAGAGACAGCACCAAGCTGGCACTACAACTGAAGAAGTCACTGTATGGCTTGAAGCAAGCCGGACGGCTGTGGAGTAAGTTGCTCCACGCCAATCTCGAGAAGCTCGGGCTTACGCGCTGCGTCGCGGACATGTGCTTGTATTACAGGAGGCAGGGCAGTAAGATGACGATCGTGGGCGTATACGTGGACGACCTTCTGGTCACCGCGTCCGTCTCCAGCTTAGTCGAGGAGTTCTTCTCGGAAATGAGTACTCTGTCCATCAAAGATTTGGGGGAGGTGAGGAAATTTCTCGGCATGCGTGTGGAGTTGGATCAACAGGGAGACTACAATCTTGACCAGCAGGCAGCCATCGAGGAGCTTCTGGAACAACACGGACTCGCAAAGGCGAACGGAGTCAGGGCGCCAATCGGGGAAGAAAGTAACGAGGTGGGGTCCAAGCAACTGGAGCTGCTACCGAAGGTAGCCGCCCACGGACAACCGACGATCCGAGGATTCCAGTCGCTCGTAGGTAGCCTGCTCTGGGTCGCGCGGTGTACAAGACCAGACATTAGCTTCGCCGTTCACAAGGCGACGCGACGCACGCACCACTCGTCAACGATCGACTGGATGCTTGCAAAGAGGATCGCACGCTATCTGAAGGACACGAAGCATCTCAAGTTGGGAATGCGCGTCGACGTGACCAGAGACCAGAGGATCAGGATCGAGAGCTGGAGCGACTCAGACTTCGCTGCGGACAAAAGTGACAGAAAGTCAGTAACTGGAGGAGTCATCACCATGGACGGCGCAATAGTACAGTGGATCTGCAAGAAGCAGACGGTTGTCTCGCTCTCCACCATGGAGGCCGAGTTTACCTCAGCATCACACGTTGGACGAGAGCTGCTTGGCCTGCGGGAACTCGTGCGTGAACTGAAATTCGAGGCGGTACAGCCCATGGCGATGTACATGGACAACCAGGCAGCCATCAGGCAGCTGGAGTCCGAGGACAGCACAGCGAGCGCCAAACACGTAGACATACGCATCAAATTTGTGTGCGACTTCGCGAGAAAGGGGATCGTGAAACCCGAGTACGTTGAGTCGCGTCTTATGATGGCGGACCTCTTAACTAAGGCGCTCCCGGCGCCGAGGATGGCCGAGCTACGGGAGATCTTTAACTTGAAGAAAGCGTAGCGAGCGACGGCCGAGGAGGAGTGTTAGAATTGTGCATGAGGTTACACCGGTGTAACCGCGGTCCCGTAACCGGGTTCGGCCGCCACTCCTGCGGATGGTGAAGAACACTGTTGGAAGCGCGAGAGCGCAGGTAAGAAGGTTAGATAAAGAGCCTCACTTCTCAATATACGGTGTCCTTCCACAGATCAAACTAATAGGTTATGAGCCCAGCGTCGCGCTGAAGAGGAGGAAGTATTGCTTAGCCGTCACCCGCGCCATAGTTTAAACTCTAGCAGTGCCGGATCACTCATTAACGTCCAATCAAAGCGTCGCAAAACCTGAGGCTCATCATTTCTACACGCACGCAGGCATAAGACACAAACTCTTCTGCTCCGTTGAAGTGGCGATGCTTCGTGCCGCTGTCCGTCGATTCTCCGCTGAAGCGTCCAAGCAACGACCGAAGAGACACCACAAGAAGAAAAATCACTTCGCGACGGCTGGTCTTCCGCTTGTGCTCTTTATCGTGGGTGGATATGTTGCGTTGACGCAGGTTAGATAAATCACATTTGGGCCGTGAACTATCGTGCTGGTTATTTTAAATGAGCTGTGGACTGTCGGTGCTGTTCGTGTCATAGTTTGTTGGCGGCAAGTACGAAACGAGAGATCACATGGTGAAAAGTCAATCGAAGCACTTGTTCAACTTGGAGGAAGAGCACAAGGTGCGTTAACAATTACCACATTGGCAGTGGATATATAAATACATTCCTGACATTCTGGTGCTGCTATTATATGTAGAAAATGACTAAGAAGCTGAATCTGGACGACTTCGAGATCAAGCCTGTGCCCAAGCCCAAGGAGGACCCATAGATAGTAAGTTTCCACCTTACGTAATGTTCATGTAGACCATCCCTTCCCTTAATTCCGAATATCCGTCACCACATTATTGACAAAAGTTGGCCACGTAACAAATGTCGTCGCGTTCTCGGCGCGCATTGGCGCCCGATTCCAGCGCTTCTTCGTCCCGTTCCGGCTGCTTCCTGCCGTTTATCTTCTTCCTGGGTGTATTGATCACATGCTTCGGCTTCATATTGAACGAATGGGAGCCCGTGGACCGCAGTAACATCGGTAGTGTTAAGGCTGAAGACTTCCTCTCCTACGGACCCATCGACGTCGTGTATACGTGGGTGAATGGCACCGATCCGCGCTGGAAGCAGGAGAAGGAGTTCTGGCACAAACACTGGATCGCTTCATTGACCGGCCAGCCGCTGCCTGTGTGGGGCCAGGAGGCCGAGGTTAAAGGCAAAGACGACTCGAACTCGGACAATCGCTTTCGAGACAACGAAGAGCTCCGCTATTCTCTCCGTTCATTGGAGAAATATGCACCTTGGGTCCGTCACATCTACGTGGTTACAGACGGCCAGATCCCTTCGTGGCTCGACATTGAGTCCCCCAAGATCAGCATCGTCAAACACCGCGACATCTTCGCCAATAAGAGCCACTTGCCGGTGTTTTCTTCGCCTGCTATTGAGTGGAATCTGGATAACATCCCTGGACTCAGTGACATGTTCCTATAATTTAACGACGATGTCTTCTTGGGCTCCCCAGTGCGACCCGAGGACTTTGTGAGTCAAGCTGGAGTCCAGAAGGCCTACTTTGCATGGGAAATCCCGCTATGCTCCAACAGATGCTGGGAGAGCAGCTTGGCCAATGGACGATGCGACAAAGAGTGCAATGTTACAGCCTGTGACTTTGATATGGGAGACTGTGGATGTGACGTGAACCCTCTGGATGGATCGGTAAATTGTGACGCAGAAAAGGTCGCGAGTATCTTAGAACAATCGCCCAAACCACCAAAGATCGGCAACTACATATGTCAAGGACTGTGTCATTACCAGTGGCTGGGCAATGGAATGTGCGATCGGACGTGTAACGTGAGCTCGTGTGCGTTTGATGGAGGAGACTGCAGAGTGGTGAAGCCTTATGACCGAAACAGACCTCATGTTGATGAGGAGGAAGACGAGGGAATGTCCCCGTTGGTCAATGACTTGTGGTCCGCTGATGTCGAGATGAATCACACACTCGTGCAGGTGCCATTGGACGTGAACGCTACGTACCTGAACCTCACGCATGCGTTTGGCGTCAATGGGAGCATTCTGAGTGCTGCACACGACAATGAAGAGCTTGTTCGCTTCGCCTCTGTATACGAGAAGGAAATGGTGCTGTTGCTAGTGTTTGGACGGGATTCGGACGCTCATCCGATGACAAGTAGTGTCCAGATCACAGTGATTGGCGAGGATTCGGAGGGTTCTCCTATTCAATTGGACTTCTCCATGGTGCGAGGGAAGAATTCGATTGAAGAGGTTACGAGTTCAGCTCAAGTGGAAGACATTGAAGAGATTTCCAGCGGCGTGTCTACGTTCCAGAACACCAGTATCCGGCCACAACTCATCCGCCTGCCGTTTGGGTTCCGACAAGCTACTTTCCGCAATGTTCTGCCGTCTACTGTAGTGACGACGAACCGGAGATTAAACTTGCAACGAAGACAGAAGATGGCGAGGAGAAGCTGTCGGATGGACAGATCGCTGTTGTTGCGGACAAGTTGGCTAGCAAAGTGCCGCTTGTTGAAGTGTTCCTGCCGTTTAACGTGACGGGAAAGAAGCTGAACGACGGTAATACTCTAAACCTCGGATGGAACATGGACTTGCGGCTTCACAACGACGCGAAGGATATCGACTGGAGTGACCACGATGTTTGTCAATTGAAGGTTCCGAAGAAGAAGCCAAATACTGCGGTTGCAGCTGATACCGAAGGGAGTAAGGCCAAGGAGAATGTTGCAGTAGACGCCAGATCAGGTGCAAACCACGCTGAAGATAAAGCTATTCCTGTCGCAAACGATCCGCTTGAAGAGGAGAATGACAAGATGCAGGATATTGCTGAAGATGAAGCTAAGAAGGACGAGAGCACGGAGGCTGAAGTTACTGAATTCGATGGCGGGATCACGAAATGCCGGCTTGCGGAACACAACCGTGGTGTGATTGTTACCGTGCGAGTTTTGTCGAACCACGCCCACGCTGTACTCTCTGCTGCTGGAGCGCTAGAAGACGATGAGAAGGAGAGTGAAACAAACACTCCTGATTCTCCAGAGGCAAGCGGCTCGGCCACTAGTATCCCCAATAGCGGAGTTGATTACGATGCAGTGGACAAACTGCTGGAGGAGTGGAAGACGAGTCCTCAGGTGGCTGACGGCCAAATCTGCTTTTTTGATGCGGACCGAGCTGATCCCTCGCGGTATCGCTACTGCTTCGCTCTAGCTTTGGGCCACTACCACTCTGAAGAAGTGGAGTTGATGCACAAACCAACACTGTGGGCTCAGCTGCATCCACCCAAGCCTAAGGTGTTGTCTTGGTGGGGAATTGGAAAGTGAATTGATGAATTAGACTGGACTAAAGACTGAGAGTGCACTATGTTGAACTAGAGGAGCGTATACGTCAACACTTCCCCGCAACATGTGCACCGACACTGACTACCTTTTGACGGCTTGCAGACCAATGAGCTCCAGCATCTTCTTGAGTCGCAGCCGATTGAGAGCCTTTGTCAAGAAGTCGGCAACCATTTCCTCTGTAGGTCAGTAAGTGATGACCACCTCGCCTCGCTTGAAGGCATCTTTCATATCGAAAAACATGCAGTCCACCGTCTTCTGCGCTTCAGAGCTTTTACCGTTCACGATCCGAGCTATCGTGGATTGGTTGTCAACGCGGGCAGCGATGGCGGTGGCGGCTCTTCCAGATAAGGACTGTAACAGCATGCGTGTCCATCGGGCTTCCTCAACTCCGATCGAGGCTGCGATGAACTCGGCAGCTGTTGACGACTTCGCTACAACACTTTGGCGCCGAGTTACCCAAGCGACTGCACAACCGTATACTCGCACGACGACGCCACTGATGGATTTTCGGTCCTCGGTGTTATTTGCCCAGTCTGCGTCGGTGAACAACTCTACTGGCGTAGCACTCTCGTCTTGCTTGTAGACCAACGCCATGTGTAGGGTACCTGCAACGTACCGCAAGATCTGCTTGACGGCAGTCCAGTGCGAGACCGTCGGTCGATTCACGTGCGCAGCCACTTGATTGACTGCGAAAGATATATCTGGTCGAGAAACTCTACTCAGGTACAGCAGGGCGCCTACCGCGGCTCGGTAGGGAATATGGTCCGCCAATTCGTCCTTTTCGTCGCCCGAAGTTAAGAAGCAACCTGAATTTAGGGGAAGGACGGATGGTTTGCAGTTCTCCATCGCAAAACGCTGTAGGATCTCTGTTGCGAGCTGGAACTGGTCGATCGTCGTGGTATTGGCCTCGGCGTCGACCTTGATGCGCATGCCGAGGAACCAAGTGATGTCTCCCAGGTACTTCACGTCATACTTGGCGCGCAAGGCCTCGACTAGCTTCGACATGGCAACTTGGTCTGAGTATCCAATAAGGATGTCGTCCACGTAAAGTAGGACCATCACGGAGTTGTCAGGGAGGACATATACGCATGCGTCTTCGCGGGTAGCACTGAATCCGTAGTCAATGAAGAATGCATTTATCTCGTCATGCCACTCCTTCCCTGCTTGCTTGAGGCCATATAGCGCCTTCTTCAGTCGCCACACCGTTCCTGGCTCGCCTGTCTCGAAGCCGCGGAGCTGGCGCATATAGATTACGGTATCCAGCGGTGCCTTCACGTACGCGGACGGTACATCACATTGGCACACGCGAAGTCCGAATCTCGTGGCGAGGGCGAGGAAGATCCGTACCGATACTAGGCGGGCCACAGGCGAGTAGGTTTCACCATAATCGACGAGAAACACTTGAGAGAAGCCTTGAGCACAGAGTCTGGCGCGCAGCCGGTCGACGTTGCAATTTCCGTCGCGCTTCACCCGGAACTTTACCGTGCAGCCGATGACGTGGGCACCAGCCGGAGGAGTGACAACGTCGAAGGTGTTGTTGGCTCGCAGCGACCCGATCTCCTCCCTGATGGCGGTCTCCCATAAGGGCCAGTTTGGTGATCTTCTCGCCTCGGCTAGGGTGACTGGTTCTTTCATAACTTCACACAGGACTGCAAGAGCGTGGCCGATGAGTCGACTTGATATTCGCTCTGACCGTCGACGTCTAATGAGCTCGGAGGCTCCGTTGATTTGTTCGACAGCAGCGTCAGTCAGATCGTCCGCATTTCTGACGACGTGCGGAGCTGGGCTTAAGTCGCTATCTTCAAGGGCTCTTTGAGGTCCACCTGCAGATTGTGGGTCGGTCACAGCAGGGCGGCTTCCCCGTATTGAAGGCTCGGTCACAGCAGGCCCCGTAAGGCGGCTTCCCCGTGCAAAAGTCTCGATTACAGCAGGCCCCATGGGGCGGCTTTCTCGTAATGCAGGCACTGTCACGGTCGGTTTCGCATCTTGCGTTCCCCGCGAATCCGTCTCAGCTCTAAGTGGCTCGATGGACGTACGTAAAGTAGTGTCTTGAGGGTTTTCAGCAAATGTAGGAAAGGTTTGCATGAAGACACGTCGCACGTCCGCTGAATGCGTGGGCCACCGGCACTAAAGTATATGAAGTAACCTTTGCGTTCATTGTCGTGCCCGACGAATACACCGGCCTTGCCTCGCTCTCTAAACTTGTATCGAGTATTTATCTTTGAGCGAGGGATCTTCGCCACAACGCGCACTCCGAAGACGTGAAGCTGGCTGACATCGGGAGCGTGGCCATAATAGCGCTCATACGGAGTTGCATTTGGATAGCTGCGGGAAAGGACTCGGTTTCGGACGTATACTGCATGGCGGGCAGGGGGTCCGAAAATGATATTGTTATTTATCGTAGTAGCATCTTCACGATAAATTATCGCGAAGCTAGCTTGTATGTTGGCAATACGTTATGATGCTTTAGCTAGAAGACCAATAAATTATTGAGTTATTGCTGCAATAATCACGGTTTAATGAATCAATAACAGGTATCTACGCTCGAGTTGCTGTGTCAAGTGTTTGTGCGTCCCAGTAACCAGTATTTTCGCGCAGGAAGAGAATCATTTCTAAAGTAATGGGCTGCAGTCCATGGCGTTCTTGGCCAAACGTGGTACGAGCAACGCTAAAAAAGCGCTCCACCACGTTGGACGTCGCAGGGATTGCGTGCAAGAGCTTGTACTTGGTCTCCTTCGCGGCAAGTCGGCGTCTCTTTTGAAGCAGCTGGACGAACGAGCTTTCGCCGTCGTCCTCGTCTTCACTCACTGCAGGAGGGCCTGTCGACTTGAACGGAGTCAACACTATTTTTTCAGCTCGCGTGAGGCGGGCTGCATTGCCGCCTAAGACCCGTACACACCCTGACTCAAAGTCAGGGCTGTGAACAATTTCAGCGCGTGGGCCTAGTGCTCATAGTGAATACAAAACAAATTAGCAATGGATACTAGAAAAGGAAAAAATATGCTGCACGTACCAATGTACCGAGCGTAGTGTGGTTTAATGGAAATCAAGCCATCCAGCCACACTCGAGCATCAAGTAGTGATACTTCGTTTCCCTGTAAAGCTTTTGCAACGGACTCGACCTTCTTCAAGTCTGCTAGCAGAGCACGCAAACGGCGGTTGTACGAAGGGGACGGCAGCAAATCTGCGATGTCGTCGTCATTGCTGTCGATAAACTCCAGCAGTGTGAAGTACCGCATCACCATAGCGAAAGTGGAGCTCCATCGAGTATCTTGGCGGATAACTGGACGGAGCGGCGTTTTAGTTCTACATTCAAAATAGAAACCCAATTAGAAACGTTTCTAACTACATCATTATCAGTTCAAACTTACCTCAGCTTTGGCACTTTGCTTCAGGTTACGAAGCTTGATCATTAACTTCTGGACAGCATCCAGCTCGTCCTCATAGTCTTGCATGTCAGCTTGCACTGCTCGGTTAAGGCGGTGGCTGGCACAGCCGATTAGCGGCACACCCATCAGCGTTGCGAGCCGCCGGTTAACCGAGCAGCTGTCTCCCACCAGGAAACAGCACTGACCCAGCTGCTTGTCGTAGCCCCGAGGCAGCATAGTGGCAAAAAATCCATGTGGCCGCGGGCGGAGAGGTCTTCCTCCTCCTCGTTGAGCAGTGGAGCCATACAAAGAAGAGGAGTCTTGACGACCCCGTCCACCTCGCAGCGAGCGTACACTGCAATGTAATGATCTGAAGCATGAGACCACCCATCAAAGATTAGCCCAAAAAGGTCAGGCATCTCTTCAGCGATGCCACGCTCCACGGCCCGCGTCACACTACTCATGCCAGAGACGAGCGTCTCGACACAAATTGAGTCAAGATTAGAGTACCTATAGAAAGCAAATAGAAACAGAAGTTAGAAATTCACTGGCAACTTTAGAAATGCGTATGACTTACCTTTTGGCCGCCTCATTCTCACAGAATGACAGCGGAAGATTGCTCTTTAGGATCCACTCCATCCAGCTGAATAGATTGAGAGAGGAGCGCCGCACGTAGTTGAGGATAGACCCCGTCTCGGTCGAGGTGGCGGTGAGCATGAGGCTCTCATGGGTTGGGTGCTCGCTTCGAACGTGCGATACCAGGTTGGAAAAGCCATTGCGGCTAGCCTGCTTTCGAACCGTGCCGCAACGACAGCGGTAGTACTCGAGGATGACTTCATCAAACTCGTCGCGGCACGGTTGAAAGAAGAACCCAGCAATTTGTGCTGGCGTGAACGTGGAGCGCACACTGCGTCGAGACGAGAAGGCCATGGTAACGGGAGTGTCGGCGTGGGAAGTGAGAGAAAAGAAAATGAGTCTGCTGAGATCAGCCGATTCGGCAACAAAACGACTGGTTCGTGGCGATCGATTGACTGCTGCAGATAACTTCAGGAAACTGTACGCATAAATTACCGTATGTAATATGCAGCCACCATAAATTATGCACGAGCCTAGTTTAGGGTGACAGCATAAATAATGTCTGCTTATTTATTGAAATTACTGTGTCGTCAAATTTTTTTCGGGGGCCCTGATGGCGGGCAGCGTACTCCCAGAGGTTGTGAGGCAACCCGGAATGTACTAAAGGCGTTCTTGCCGTCTCCGAGATCGTCCGGTTTGCGCGTTCCACCACCCCGTTCTGGAAGTGAGCATGGGGCTCTGAGTATTCACGCTCTATACCGGCCGCTGAGCACACACTTTGGAAGGCCGTACCCTCGAACTCTCCTCCATTGTCTGACCTCAGGACCTTGATTAAATGTGGCTGATTGTCGGACCGGCGGTTGACGATTGCAAGGTAATCCTCAAAAGCTGCAGCAGCGTCTGACTTGTTTCGTAGGAAAGAGATATGCGTAAATCCAATCCACTTCAGAGCGAGGAAGTAATGATTACCGTGGATACTTCTCTGCATTGGGCCAGCGAGATCTGCGTGGCACACCTCGTCTTTGGAGAGTTGAGGGCGAGTTGCTTTCTTGGGCGCAGAGCGAGCCGTTACCTTGCTTAATGCACACGCCTCGCATTTGTCGTTAAGTACACGAGAGCCAACTATTTTTAGACCCTTCACCTTGCCCGAGTTCTCCAGTTCCAGGATAGAGTTGTAGTTTAGGTGAGCGAGTCGCTGATGCCAGTGCCTTAAGTCCTTTTTGCTGTATTTCGGCGCTTGGGCGACCAGTGCAGATGCTGCCGCCGACCGGCTGGTGCCTCCTTGCAGCTCGTAAATACCACCTCGAACCACTCCAGAGAAGAGCAGTCTCCCGAATACTTCACACTTGTGCCCACTGAAGCTTACGTGCATGCCGTCTTTAAACAATGCCGCCACTGAGATGAGTGTGCGGGTTATTCCTGGCACGACTACGACATCGTGGAGAACGGTGCCGTTGTCCAGTCGCAGGCTGCCACGTGCGGTTGCAATTAATGTGCGCTCGTCCGCCACCTGGATAACGTGTTCGCCGCACGGTTCGGCGTCGTGAATGTCCGCGCAGAGGAATTTCCATATCTCAGTGATTATCACTGATATTTTGGTTTTAGATGGGGTTAATTGCCAGTCCATGACATTAATCAGTAGACGAGTAGTAATAGCATTTTCAAGAATAAAATAGTAATGAATTGTTATTATCCTACTTAAAGCGTAATACAGTATTACATTCGACAAGGAGTCTCGAGTTAGAAGTGTTGTGCGATGAAGTGTTTTTTTTTAGCTATACACAAGCTTAAAATACATGAAAAAAGAAACGATAGGATTGTAATGGTCTGACCCTCTCCTCGCTGCCCTTGGTCTCCTCGTCTAGTATGACCTCGTGCACCTCCCACCAGCCGACCTTGTCGAGTTGTCTTTTTAGGTGCTGCACCTTGCTCGACAGGCGGCTGGCTTTTTTTTTCTGCGTGCGGCTTGAGCTGCAACCGCCTTCGGACCGCAACCACTTTTGCGCTCGAGGTGGCCCTTTAGCTTGGTGCACGAGCTGAATGTAACGGCACCTCCAGCAAGTCTTGGTCCTCCTCGTCTTTGGACGTCCTGGCTTCTTCTTCGATACACGGCGCAAAACTGGGGCCATTGCAGGAAGTAGAGAAAATGAAACTGTTAGCAGTTGAATACAATACATGCACACGTATATTAATTTAGCTTTTAACCAACTTCACTGTTGGCTTCCCTGATCATTGCGATATGTATGTACTAATATAAGTACATGCATACTACTATCACTGACCTCAGTGATTGTAACGTTACTTACTATTTTCTGTAATCTCAGTGATAATCACTGAGATATGGAAATTCCTCTATCCGCGCAGCTTCCCATGTGGAAAGACGCACCTGAGTCGATCACAGGGGCACTGTTGGGTATACCTGGGTCAGTTATAAAGTGCTCTCTCCCCAGTAGTGCCCGTGGCCTTCATTCGTGGTCCTCCCAGTCGTGGTCCTCGACGGGCTTTGCAGCGGTCGGATCTAGAGCGTGCTGTGATTGTCCCTCTTCCTGATTTTTCGTAACTGTGGTAGCGATACTGGCCAGGCGGGCTTACACCACGGTGCCTTGGCTGGTGGACCACTGGTCGTGGTATCCTGTGGTGTGGCCTCACCGTTGGCAAACGCCGCACACGGCGTTTGAGTAGTCGCGTCGCGGTGCCTTGGACCGACGGCCACTGAGCTCAGAAGGACTATGGTCATTTCGCTTCATTTTCCCCACTTTATCGCGCGAAAAATTGGGGGGTGCGCTGGACAGCTGTCTTCTCCTATTATGCCAGCAATCTTCGCGAGGTACTTCACGGCTTCCTCCATTTCATGCCAGGGATTGTCCAACTGCGTCTTAATGCAGCTAAGTCGAGAAGCACGATGCTGCGGCCACGCGCTCTTGATGAACGTTGATAGGGCATCTTCTGCAGTCGCTTTGGTCTCTTCACCGTCGTTCATCGTAGCAGCTATGGTGCTTAAGCGACGGGCAAAATCGGCGTAGGACTCGTTGGCCTTCTTGATGGTTCTGCCTAAGGTGGAGCTGATCTCGAGGCGATCGAGCGAGCAGCGGAACTGCTCGCGAATTGCGATGCACAAGGCATCGAAAGACACACCTTGGAGCACATCAAAACGTCGTATGAACCACGTCGACGCAGCACCTCCCAAGTGTGCAGCCACGACCATCATCTTGATGCTGTCGGGCCAAGCTGCCTCGTCCACCATTTCTCTAAGTCGAATCTGGATCTTGAGGCGCTTAATCCAGTCGCCGGCACCAGCGTCGAGGAAACCTTCTTTAACTTCGCCGGTGAAGTTTTTAATTTTCACCAGCTTCGTGCTGTGCTTCTTGGAGGTTGGGGGTTCTGGGTCCGGTTCTCTGTCTCCTAAGTTCGCCATAATGTGGGAGTGTCGATGCGGCTGTTAACCTGTTGTCTTGGTGGGGAATTGGAAAGTGAATTGATGAATTAGACTGGACTAAAGACTGAGAGTGCACTATGTTGAACTACACCTTTGCCAGTCCAAATCGGCGACAGTGTAAAGCAAAGCTGTGTGAAGTAACTTAAGTGACAAAGAAATTTTTAATTTTTATTTTCAAAAATTGACTTTAGAGCAATGGCGATTTAGTGCAGAGCTAACTGGTGGTCGGCATCAAAACAAGTTAAAAAAGTCCACCCTGTCTTCGCCCTTTGCTTCTTCCTTCCGAGCACCATCGTACCCGGCACCCCCACGTTAAAATTCCATTTTATGCTACCTCGGTCGTCGTCGACACGTGCAAAATGCAACTTAGGCCACACACTCGACACGCAGACAGAGCCGTCGCGACTGGGCGATGCTGGACGACTCCATGAGCATTGAGCGGAAGATACGCTCCTCGCTGTAGCCTGCCTTCTCAAGCATCGTGATGCGCTCCAGCGGCTTGAACCAGCGCACGCGTCTCCGCCGATGTCGTCCTGCGGTTTCCTGCCTGTCCCCCGCCTGTGTTTTCTCCCGCTGATGCTGCGCCGCGTTCACTGAAGTCCTCCACACACATTGCGGGGTTCGAGCCAGCCGGTCGCCACCACCACCGCGTCGAGGCACTGCGCTGCCGCCGATGCCCACGCCGAACTCGTAGACGGTGACGGTGGACCAGCGTACGCTCTTAATCGCCATGGCTGCTGTGTATGTGGCTGTTGGACTGGGGCGAGGAAGGAATGGAGGAAAGACCCAGAGGGCGTCGGCTGTATGTCGTTCACGCGCCCCTCCCGGGTGGCCACTCACTCGCGCCGCTGCCATGCAAGTACCAGATTTGGTGGATCTTCTCCATCCACTTACAAACACTCAGTGGCTTGCCTTGCGTTGTTTTTCCCAGTCAGCGCTCAGTTCAACATCGTCCGCTTGCCCAGAAAACAGAGCGCCGGATGCAGCTGCTTGAAAACGCTGCAGAGCATAGCTTCCATGTATGGATCTGCGCTTGGTTAACAAGATGGCGCGCCACTGTGCGTTGTCAGTGGCGGCAGCTATTCGTAGCAAACCTATGGAGTACGGCACGTAAAGTTTTGCACTACACTAAATCAACTTTGCATGACAGGCTTTTTCTAAAAAAATAAATTTCAAAAATTAAAAAAATTAATTACGGGACGTTCCACTTTGCTTTACACTGTCGCCGATTTGGACTGGCAAAGGTGTAGAGGAGCGTATACGTCAACATAAGGTGGTCTACACGCCGTACACAGGAGACGACTCGGCGCTACTTGAGCTACTGGACCGTTGTATTGACACCACCCGACGTCTCATCGGCATTCGACCACGAATCTGCTACCCGCATGAAGTGTCCGTCCCGCGTCCACCCATCAAGTATGAAGCCAAGGTGGATGTGCGGAAGGAGAAGGAAGAAGATGGCCGTCGACTGGCCTGTGAAGCTCAGAAGCGTCGACTGGCACAACGTGAGGAACGCGAGAAGGAAGAGCGTGAAGCTCAAGCCAGTGAACATGTGGGTGGCTTGAGTCGCTTCTTTGGGAACATCAAGACGGCAGTCGGGCTTGGACACGTTGTGTCTACTAATGAAAGCTTGGATGACGTCGAATACGCAGACGTATGTGGTACAGCTGAACCGAAGGAAGAAAAGCCGCAGGTCACACTACGCGACGCACAAGCTCACCTGTCCAAGGACACGCTCGGAGACTCCTTGCGCTTTGTCAACAAGCTGTACAACCGCGCATTCGGCAAGCCAAAGACATCAGATCGACGTCGCGTGCCTTCGCACATGCCATTCCTGGTGCAAAAGTCGATCATTCGTGAGATTAAGGACCATTGGACACAGGAGATTCAAGACACAAGTGCACACCGCTTCCGTCATCCTCAAGACATGCAGTTCAGCTTCTCGTACTTCCATTATCTCATTAATCGCGCCAAGATCCACCCTCACACGTTGGAAGAGATCTGGAGTGAATACCTGGACGCCAATCGTAACGGGATCCTGGACGAGAGCGAAGTGCTGACAGCTGCGAGTCTCGCGCATGGTGACGCTCCGCCTGAGATTTTCGTGAGCGAAGTGCGTGAGTGCGTACAGCCTAATAAACGCGAGAAGGTTCGTGAGATTCCGACGGCGGAGGGAACGCTGCGACTTAGCGAGACATTAACGCCGTACATCACTCTGGAGAACCTCGAGCAATGTCCTTCGGTACGTGACGCGCTCGTTAAGAACGTTCGATACGAGACCAAGGTGGAATTAATGTCGGAGACTAAGGTGACGTTCCACATGCTGAGCGACAATTACTAGTTTGCGTGGAAGCAAATGATGGGCACGCGAGCGAGACGCACCAAGTTTGTGTGCATCAACGACGACATGAAGAACCCGTCAACTGCGGTGAGTCAGATCCTGCACGAACTCTTCCTGTCCATTTGGCCCAAACGCTCGCAGTTCGAACTGCCGTATCACCTCAAGAACCGCTACGCACACATCGACGAGTTCACCGCCGCACAGGAGCGTCGTCATGTTGCAGCAGCCATTGAAGATATTGCTCGGGCTCGTGCAGCTTCGGCGTCGCAACTTACTCAAGACTTCCAGCACACTCAGGAAGATAAAGAAGACAAGGTAGATGAGTCAGCTTCACCAACGAGTAAGTGGCGTTCAAGGAAGGCGTCGGCCTAGAGAAAAAAAAGTAAACGGATGCAACGTCGACACGTTGAGTTTGGCATTAGGCAATGTTTGTGGGGTTTAAATGCTTTTTGCGAAATAAAGTAAGTGCTTCTCTCGCCCTGCGTCAGGTGGTAGCTCAGTCGATCGTCGAGAAGAAACTGGATCGCTGTTAATCGTGGAGGGCGAAGTAGAAAGCTTCCCGACGGCTGACTACTTCCAACTGAGTAACGGAAGACACAGACGACGTCGACGGTGTCACGGGAGAGAGAGCCAAAGTATCGTGGCAGCTTTCTGCCTTTTGATACTCCAACATCGGCCCATAGAATAATGAATGGTAGTAGAACGGGACTGGGTCGACTATAGAATGCCTTGGCCAGTGAAGGTCAAGGCCTGGTCATGTGTGGCCATCGATGGCCTAGTACACATCAGGTGGTGGCCGAGACCGGCGTTGGTGCTGGTCTGCAGATGAACCCTCAGCGTGTAGTTGGCTTGCTCTAGACGCTTCATGTGCTCGGCGGCCTGCGTGGCCAGCTGTTTCAATGCGTTGTTCTCGTTCTGAACCTCCTCTTTCTGCTGATTCTGGATGGCCACGGCGCGCTTCAGCAGCTTGTTTTCACCCTGGAGTCGGGCCGCATCGCTGGCCTGAGCGGCCACGCGTTCCTGTGTATGCAATTAGCCAAGCGTACCCATGAGTGATGGTCGCTCCTCGGCTACGCCGAGTGGTGACCATTGTGATGAAGGAAGTAGTCGTAACAACAGTAAGTTGCAGGGACTGAAAGTCCAGCAGGGGAGAAAACCGAGTGCTGCTGCTTGCTCTTGACGGCGCAAGTTGTCGAGTGTGTAGCAGCACACGGAAAAACCCCGGTAACATATATTGGTAGGATTAGCAGTAGGATGGGGCTGGCGGCTCGCCAGCCAATGGTCCGTCGAAGTCCGGCTTCTGGACGCGAGCATCGCGTCCTGGAGGCACCTGAGCCTCAGGTTTGAGCTGGACGCAGTCCTGGCTCTTCCTCCACACTTCACACTCCCACTTGATCTAGTCGAAGCGCAGCTTCAACATGATCACCTTGTAGAGCTCACCACGATGTTCTTGGCATCTTCTAGCTGCGCTGCAGCACGACGCTTCGTCCTTGGTAGCGCTCTTCCTCCTTCTTGTCCTTCGCATGCATGAACCGGTAGTAGTAGCTTGCATTCACGCATGGCGATGATGTTTGGCTCCCACTGAACGAGCTGAGCCTTGCTGACGGTCGATGCGCAGCACCTTCATCCCATCACGGCAATGTTCGAACTTGTCCTTCGGCAATGGCTTCGTCATCGCGTCGGCGATCATGTCGTCGGTGCCAACATGGCGAATCCGTAGCTGCTCGTTCTCCACGAGGTGGCGCACCAAGTGGAACTTGTTCATAATGTGCTTGTTCTTGCTGTGCTTGCCAGGCTTGGCAGTCAGATAGATGCACGACTTGTTATCGCCGATAATCTCCGGAGTCGCGAACTCCCAGCATAGTTCTTCACAGAGTCCACGTAGCCACTGTAGATCTCTAGTGCCTTCATTCATGGCAATATACTCTGCTTCCGTTGTGCTCTGTGCGTTAATCTCTTGCTTTCTTGATCCGTACGAAACCACGTTACCATTGACGAACGTCACGAACCCGCTAACACTCTTTCGGTCATCAGGGTCATTAGCGTAGTCAGCATCGGTGTAACACGTCAGCTTGACGTCGTTCCCAATAACAATGTCCATCACTAAGCCGTGGTCTTGAGTACCACTCAGGTAGCGTAGCACCCTCTTTCCCATAGCGTAGTGTGTGTGGTCGAAGCAGGACAGGTACTTGCTGAGATTACGCACAGCGTGCGCAATGTCCGGCCTTGAGGCTGAGACCAGATATTGTAGTGCACCAACGAGCTCTCGGTACGGGGGCGGGGAGTCATCTTTCGCATTTGTGACCACCTCAGCGCGCAGCGCTTCCGGTGTTGCAACCGCGTTGCAACCCTCCATGTGAAATCGCTTTAGCACCTCCGTAATATGTTGCCTCTGGCAAAATACCGCATGTCGACGCTCGCTGTCGATCAGTATCTCCACGCCTAGTAGATACTTGACTGGTCCGAGAGATGTGAGTTCATACTCCTCACTGAGTTGCTTAGCAACCTTAGCGCAAAGGTCACTAGGGCCGAGGAGCAGTAGGTCGTCGACGTACACCGTGAGCAACATGGTGACTTCTCCTCCCACTTTCCTGGCGTAGAGTCCGTAGTCAGAGTCGAGGCGCTCGAGTCCGATCTTCGTCAGGAACTTGTACAATGTCTTGTTCCAAACGCGAGGCGCTTGCTTTAGCCCATACAAACTCTTTTGTAGCTTGCATACATAGCGCGTAGAGTCTTCTCCGAAGCCTGGAGGCTGCTCCATGTAGACCTCCTCGTCGAGGTCACCGTACAAGAACGCGGTCTTGACGTCGAACTGCAAGATGGCCCATTCCCGTTGCAGCGCGTATACGATCACGCATCTGATCGTCTCAAATCTGATAACAGGTGCGTATGTTTCACTGTAGTCGATGCCCATGCGTTGTAGAAAGCCTCTGATCACTAGTCGAGCTTTATATCGCTTAATCCGGCCCGTAGAGTCTCTCTTGAGCGCGTACACCCACTTGCACGAAATGACACGCTTGCCCTTGGCCTCCGTGCGTCGCACGAGCACCCAAGTTTCGTGCTGCTGCTGTGAGTCCATCTCAACTTGCATCGCTGCTTTCCACTCCTTCCACTTCTTTGACCTTGCCGCATGCTTGTGACTAATGGGGATCTGCACATCCTCGACGTTCTGCTTCGTCACATTCGTCACTACGTAGTCTTTGAGTCGGGCGGATGGTTGTCGCTTCCGCTTCGGTCGCGACGTAGCTGCACTGTCGTCTGGCGACGACTTCTGCGTCGTGCATGGCTCCCAGTTCTCGTCTTCGTGAGCATCACGTCGACTGTCCTTGGCCTTCGAGGCTCCCACTCGATTTGCACATGCTTTCGCTTTATTCTTGCCTTTTGTGTTCTTCCGCTTGGAACCTCCCACTGAAGCTGCTGGCTTCTTAGCGTCCTCGCTTGGTAGCTGTGGGTCATCACTTCGAGTCGCAGACTCGGCTTCAACTTCAACACCTTGGTCCTGGCTCTCACCAGCAGTGGCCAGCTTCGCCATCTCCGCTGCTCGCCTTTCTGCAAGCTCTGCAGGAAGCTGCAGGTACGTAGACATTGTCGTCCGGATCGGCACGATCGGGATCTCCGCAGGTAAGTCGTAGTCTCCGTAAGCGTAGGTGTTTGCAAGAAGTTGCTCAATATACACAGTGTTTACCGTGTACTTCTCATGTGCCTTCATGTTTCCATCTCTGCACGTCGTCACTGATCCTGTGCGCAGGTTCAGCAGCTTATAGCCCTTGGTCTTCTCGCTGTAGCCAAGTAGTAAGCACATCTGCGTCCTTGGAGTGAGCTTCTCCTTTCTCTGCCGAGAATCATCAGGGATGTGCGCGTGCACCAAGCACCCCCACGCCGCAGCACGCTGAGGTCTGGCCGCTCTCCGTACAGGGCCTCGTACGGGGACTGCTGGTCCTTCAACACCGGCGTCGGCGTCTTGTTGAGCGTCTCAATGCATGTAGGAAGCTCTCC